GGGTCAGGAGCTGTGGGGAGCCATGGACCTGCCTTGGGTGCGGGGTCCAGGGAGCAGGCAGAGGGGCCCGGGTTCCCTGCTCCATGGCTCCAGCTTCTGGCGTGGCTGGGGGGCAGGGCCTCGGAGGGAAGAGGAGGGGCCTCATGGACCCCCCCGCCATTTTTAGGAAGAATCCTTGGCTCCTGCCCCTTGGGAGGAGGCCACAATGCTGCCTCATTAGTCACTTTCAAATCCCGCCTGAAAACTCTCCTTTGCCATGGTGCCTCTAAAAAACGTGACGAGAGTTTGGCCACTGATGAGTTGAGACCCTGTCTGTCACACTGACCAATATTATCTTGTTGTTTCCGTGACCTCACCCCTCTGTCTCTCTCCATCTCTTGTCTCCAGCTGGTTGAGAAATGGATTTGCCCTCCCATAAAAAATTTCAAATTTTTCCAAAAGGAAGGAAGGAAGAAAGAAAATCCTGATTGGAACAACTAGCCACATTTTTCAATTTTTGCACACAACTAAATTCCCCCCAAATCAAAAAATAAATCAGGTCAAAATGTTTCTTTTGCATTTTGACCCTTTTTAATTTTTTTAAAGGCTCTTCCGTAAAAAAAAGTAAATTTCAGAACAAAAAGGTAGCTTTTGAGGCAAGAAAAATCAAATCTTTTGGTCCTGCAAAATGTCGACACAGGATGGTTCCACATTGTCAAAATGTTTCCCCCCCAAAAAATTTTTTTTGAAATAAAATCTTGTCACCATTTCTCCAAATAAATGTATAAATAAATAAAAATTGGTTTTGTCAAAACAGCATTTTCCAATGGAAAACTGTTTAGACAAATTTTTTCCAGTCAGCTGTACTCTTGTCTTACACATGGATTATAAACTCCTTGGGGGCTGGAATGGTCTCTTTGTACAGCGCCTTGCACAACGGGGTTCTGGGCACTGACTTTGGCTCCTAGGAGCTACTGTAATACACCTAATAAATAATGTACAGCGTCTAGCACAATAGGGCCCTGGGCCATGACTGGGGCTTTTGGGTGCTACCGTAATACACCTAATAAATAATGTACAGAGCTACATTAGTACAGATAACAAATAATAATTCACATATTGGAGACGAGGAGAACAACCTAGTTGCCCAACCTCTCTCCAGAGGATTGCAGTAGAGGTGGGGAAAAAACACAGTTGTTCTGGCCTATGTCCACAAGATCTCCCGTCTTCTCGCATGGCTGACGTAAATTGGGCTGGAATCTATTCATCCAGTGGACCAGCATATGCCCAATGCTGTAGGCCTGGCCTGCCCTTAGGCATTCTGCCAGGACAGCTATATTGGCTAGGAATATGAAACAAATCAGATCCCTAGATAAATTTGGTCAAAACTTTCTGACCAACGTTTTTTTGCCAGCGAAAAAGGCAGATTTAGCAACTCCGAAACATTTCGCTAATTCGTATCCAAGTTGCCGAATTGTTCATTTAAAAAAGAAATACCTAAAAAGAAAAACAAATTAAAAATAACCCACCCTAAAACATATACCTAACATAACATAACTTAAAAACAATAAAGGAATAATAATAAAATGATAAGAAATACAAAAGAAATACTTACAAAAATTAAAAGGAATTCTCCCAAATATCTAAAACAAATACCTAATCACAATTATAATACATAATTGTTAAGCATTACAATAAATAATCAAGTAATAACAATAAAATGGTAATAAAAAAATAAATATCTAAAATATTTCTTAAAAAAATCAAGTATCTAAAACAAATACCTGCAATAAAATAAATGTTCATAATAAAGTAATAAAAAGTAATAATAATAATAAAATGATCAGAAAGAAAAACAACTAAAAACAATTTTCAGAACCTCAAAAAATTCCTAAAACAAATATCTAAACTAAAATAAATAATGGTTGTTAATAATAATAAATAATAATAAAGGAATATTAATAAAATGATCAGAAATACAAATAACTCCCTAATTAATTATACCTAAAACAAATACCTAAAATAAAATGAATAATTGTTAAGGAATAATAATAAAATAATAAGAAGAAATAAAAAATAAATACAACAAAAATTGAAAAAATCAAAACCTTTTGTTTTGACATTTTCTAACCAAAACATGCTGATATTTCAGTTCAAAACAACTTTCTGCTTTGAAATTGCCTTTACTTTTCATCTTTCAAAAATTCAAAAACATTGAAAAATGGTGGAACCCAAAAGGAAACTTTTTGATTCGGGTCAAGCAAAACGATAATTCAATCAGACATGAATTTTTTTTTTAAAATGAATTTGCCCCAGATCTCAAAAATGTTCACTTTCGGTCTGACCCAAAATGATTTTTCCCCCTTTTCAAACCAGAAAAATTGGTTATTCTCCCAGCTCTAGCCCTGCCCGAAGAGCTCTGCCAGCGAAAACCCCAGTGGAGATGCAGTTGTAGTAGTAAAAAAGTCCGTTTGCTGGCAGATCTTATTTGGTTCACGGAACAAAACTATTTCTACAGAATCTGCATCTTATCTAGGAGCAGCTGCCAGGTTAGCTCTGCTGGAATCGCTATATAGACAAACACTTTCTAGCGTAGACCAAGCCTAAAGGCAGAAGGATAAAGGAAGCAGAGGTTAGTGGTTAGAGAACCCTGAGTTCAATTTCCTGCTATGCCACAAACTTCCAGCGTGACCGTGGGTACATCTACATTGCAATCAAACGCTGGGGTGAGCTCACTCGGGCTCTTGGGGCTGGGAAATTGCAGTGTAGACATTCGGGCTCCAAGACCCCCGCGAGGCGAGGTG